CACAGCTTCCCCATGCCGCTGTCACAAATCTCCCAGTAAAACCATACCCAGTGCCCACTGACCTTCAGCGCATCACCTCATCAAAGCTGAAGGTCACGCTACTCTTGAGCCATTCTCTGTATGTTTGGACTATTAGACATTCATCATTTTTGTTTCTCAGTTCTCTTCAATCTCTCCTTCTCTGTCTTCACGTCATTTCCATTGACTCACTTACCTTCCTTCATTCCTACAATGAATTCAGTTGGCACAAGACCAGGTTCAGAATTTCCCTCTAGAATGACTCCCATCTTATCCTTGCTTTTTATTCTCAGAGTGATATTCCTATAATAAAGAAAAAAATCACCATCCTATGGTTGGGAGAACTGGCACATGCCCTGAATCTCCAAACTCAGAAGGCAGAGGCAGGTGGATCGTTGTGATTAGAGTCTTATTCATGAATATAGTGATGCAGTCTAAGACAGTGGGACAACTCTCGGTCGTTATCAGGAATCTCAAGGAAATTCTTGACCATTATCAGGGGTATGAAGAACTCCTCCTGCAGTATTTAATATTGTTTATATATTTGTTCTGCAATTTGGAACTCTTAATTCTCCTGCCTCAGACTCCCATGTGTTTGGGCTACAGACATGCATTTCCACACTGAAGCGCAGGGCTGCAGTGGTTCGTAGTTGAATTTTGAGGTGGTTCAGTTGCTGGTTCCATGCTGAACTTGAGCAAGCCTCCAGCCTTGTGCCCATTTCTCATTCTACTCTGGTTTCTTAACCATTGATCCCAGCTATTCCTGAGGCCTACATGCATCTTGTTACAGTGAAGAGTGCAGCTTATCAGGGGGAAGGGGGAGTGCCTAGGATTCTTCATTTCTAAAATTGTATTTATTTGTTTGTTTTCTATTTTGTATGTGTGTGAGCATGCGCAGGCACTAATGTAGCACACAGTATGGAGGTCAAAAGAGTAAGTTCTCTCCTGCCACCTTGTGGGGTTCAAGGATTGAAGTCAGGTTGCTAGACCTGAGCAAACACCTCAACCATTTGAGCCATGCCCCTGGTGCTGAGGTCATGCTGGTGCTGCTGTCTTAAGGATTACTCTCAGGTAGCAAAAACCCATAGCAACATTGTAAACTCTTAAACCTGTTCCCTTTCTTACTCCCTCAGTATAAAGGACACAGTAAGTACCGCCATGTTGACATGATCTCTAGAGCCTATACTGTTGGCCTCATTAACCCCCAGGACTGCAAAATCTGGAATCCCCTGCAGCCCTAAATGAAAAACAATGATTGCTTGGTTCTGCCGTTGGAGATTTAAAATGAGTACATATACACCCCCAAGAATCTTGCTGATTAACATTTTTGTTTATTATGTGTATGTGTGTGTATCTGTATGTGTGTGTGTGGGTACACACATGTTGCTGTAGGTACTTGCAGAGGCTAAATGCACGAGTCCCCTTGGAGCTGAAGTTTGGGAGATGCGCTTGCTGGGGACTGAAATCAGCCCTTGGTAAGAGTACTATAACACTCTGAACTGCTGAGTCATCTTTCCAGGGCCACCTATTTGTTTTTTTAAGACTTGTACCTGATAGGCTAATCTCCAACCTGAAATCGTAAATGAAAAGTCTTCACCAACAGATCCAATACTCTTTATTTTATTTTGCAGTACCCGCTCTGCTCTGGACACACCCACATTGTAACTATGTGTGTGTGTGTGTGTGTGTGTGTGTGTGTGTGTATGTATATATGTATATATATACTTGCCTTTTCAATAATTTTAGCTGATAAAAACCAGAATACCAGCACATAATCATGCGAAGAAACTTTCTCTCTTCTCTTTAATTGCGTAGAATCCAGCTACCTTCCTAAATCTTATCAAATCTTTGTCCCTCTTCTATTAAAGTTCACAGAAGAGCAACTTTTCTGGAAGAGTAGAAAATGTGATCTGTTGACAGCAAGGGAAACACAAGTGACATCATTGCCTCAACACAAAAGAAAAGGCATTGTCCTATTCCAATCCTATTGAGACACTGAATTTTTTAAGGACAGTTCCATGTCATTTGCATAAGTCACAAGCATCTTGTGCTCATCACTAAACAACAAGCTAAACAAAAGTCTGAGGATACTCAGGACTTGCTTGGAAGATGACATGGCACCAGAGATGGACAGAGTCCTTATAGATAAGTAGTTGAAATGGCTTCAGAATTCCCTGGCTAGCCTTTTCCAACATCTTTGCATCTAGAAAGTAGTAGATATCAAGCCTCAATAGGCCTTCACTCTGAAAATACCATTAGAACAGTCTATACTGCTGTGGAAGGCATGATGTTAACAGCAGCTTTGAGAAGCCAGCACATGCCAACAGCTGCTTATATGGGAAGAAGAGCTAATAGCCTAAGTGGATTGAGGAAGTGAGACTGACTCAGCACATGGAGGCGTCTGAAGAAATAACAAGAAGCCCACGAGTCCTCTTTGTGTACCCAAACAGTGTAGGCAGAACTTCATAGCAACAACATGGGATTCAATACTATCTCACCAAAGTGCCTCCAGCTGTGTTTCATGTCTCACCTTCCTTGCGCTGTCTCTTCTAATTTGAGTGACCTCTATAAAGGGGCTTCTCGTGCTTCTCTTGCTCAGTGCCATCCCGTCTTTGTGCCACTCATCACATGCTGCTTTTTCTCTGTTCAAAACGCTCTAGCCCACACTTAGCAAACCTTCAGCACCAAGCGTCACATTTTCTGAAGAAACAGTGGCTGCTCTTTTTCCATTCGAGAAAGGCAGTGGTGTCTAAAGAGTGGCCCCCTTGCTCAGCGCCACCCTCCAGCCTCTTACTTGTGTAGTAAGGCGTGCCCTGCAGCTGTAAATTTCCCTCAGGTAAATAAAGGAGTCGGTGTTTCACTGGTATGAGTGGAACTCCCGTCTATTGATTTGAGATCAATCAGTCTTCTGAGCTGCTCCAGAGCAAGTCTTTTCACGTCAGTCCCCAAATGGTAATTATGGTAATTGTGATAAGTAGCTAAAATTAATCAAATGGAATTAATACTATCCAGTCTTACCAGGGATCGTGCTTTATTGACCTTTATAAATTATCCCCGCTCTGCAGATAAAGAACGTGAACCTGAAGATGCATAAGTAACTTGCTCAAGCAATGTGCCAAGGTAATAAATGAGAGGGGTCAGTCAGGACTGGAGCCCATGTCCTGCATCAGGAAGTGGTACTCCTAGCGGCTGATTGACACCACTAGGCTCATGGTTATTGAGTCAGTAACAGTGATGATGCACTCCACTAAGAAACCCTCCCACCTACAAGCAGGTACCATTAGTCTTCTGCCTGCGAGGAACGTTTTCTATTACAAAAGAGGTACAGCAGCCACCTGGGTACCAAAAGCTGCAAGGGTCCATGACAACACACTTGGAAGCTTTCTTGGTGGGCCCCGACATAGCAGAAAGCCCTCATTTCTTTCTTTCTTATAGGTCCTGAAAAATGAGCCTTTCGCTAGCATTGTCTGTTATTAACTGGCTTTCAGAAAGGGCCGGCTCCACAGAAATCTTGAAGGTATAGCCTTATAATGTATTTATTAGTGCCAGCTAAAGGGCAAGCCTGATTCTGATAGTATTTTTAATAGAGTCTTTCTCAGCACTGCTTCGTCCATAACTCATTTCTTTCATCAGTCTTCCCTCCCCATTTCTTGGGAGAGTCCACAACTGTTGTTTAGTTCAGAGGAAATTGAAAGCTACACCAAAAGCTAGTTCATGTGATGTTTTTAGATCAGAAGAAAAAGCAATTTTTTTCTTCTGGAAAAGATTATTGATCTTTGAGTATTAAGCATGCAGCTGGCTCCATGGTTAAGGAATATGGGGACTTGGGAAATATTCAGGAAAGAGCCCATGTGCACTGTGCTTCTGCTTTTCCTGGTCTGTGGCTGAATGTTTATGGTGTGAGCTCTGCGCATGCAATTGTTATTAGCAGTCCCTTTTCCAGAGCGACTAAGTAGGACAGCTCACACACAGACCCGGAAGTGCCATTCTAATGTATTAGTAAAGATTAGAAAGGGGGAGTGTTATGTGTCATGAGTCACATATGAACTCATGGAGATAGTATCAGAGATAGCTCCAGGCTGCAGAGAGCAGCATTTATTAAATACCGACCATAGGTGCTGCTGGCTTAAATGAAAAGGCAAAGAAAGGTATCTATCTGTTAAGCCCCAGGAGTTGCAATCTGCTGGCTGGTTCTCATTTGGAGAAAGCCGGCAGCTGGGTAGTGATTGAAGCGTCCAGCAGGGGGCTGGCATTCGCTGTCTATACGTGGTCCTGGCTCCTCTTCAGAGCCCCAGCTCAGGAGAGCTGCCATTTGCTGGGGAAGCCAGTGACGTGCAAAGCATCCTGCCTATAGGATTGGAGGCTTTCTTGGTGCAGTTTTTTTCTACCCACTTTAAACCTCCAGGTTCTACATATCAGGAAAGACGGGAAATGCTGTGTGAAAATACCAATCCCAAAGTTCTTGGTAAACTGCAGCCAGAGGGACTCAGACTAGAATGGAGGTAGGAAGAGCTGGGTCAGATTGGGCTTAATCTTAAGCTTTTCTTTGGGCTGAGTTTCTGTTGCTTGTTAACTTAGGGCATTTACACTGCACTGCTCACTGGTGGTGAGGAGGCTGGGGCAGAACCAACATCAACGTACTAAGCTAGCTTTTGGAATACCAGTGTGTATGCATTCAGAGTGTTTTTACTAAAGGGGATCAAGAGCCTAGCACAGATCTTAACTTCATCACCTGACTGCAAAACCAGAAGTTAAGAAGCAGCATCTTTTTTTTTTTGTTTGTTTGTTTGTTTTTCGAGACAGGGTTTCTCTGTGGTTTTGGAGCCTGTCCTGGAACTAGCTCTTGTAGACCAGGCTGGTCTCGAACTCACAGAGATCCGCCTGCCTCTGCCTCCCGAGTGCTGGGATTAAAGGCGTGTGCCACCACCGCCCGGCCAAGAAGCAGCATCTTAAAGGTACTTTTTTTAGAGAGAGGTCTTGAGATGGCTCTGAACAATTGTTCCCACCTGAACTTGGAAGTGGACTCTTTCCTGTACTGCAACAACACCTTCAATCAAAGTCTGAATACCCCCAAGATGGACAACTGGTTCCACCCGGGAATCATTTATATCATTCCTGCAGTTTATGGGATTATCATCGTGATAGGCCTCGTTGGCAACATCACCTTGATCAAGATCTTCTGTACAGTCAAGTCCATGCGAAATGTGCCGAACCTGTTCATCTCTAGCCTGGCTTTGGGAGACCTGCTGCTGCTGGTAACGTGTGCCCCTGTGGATGCCAGCAAGTACCTGGCTGACAGATGGCTTTTTGGCAGGATCGGTTGCAAACTGATCCCCTTTATCCAGCTTACCTCAGTGGGGGTGTCTGTCTTCACACTTACGGCACTGTCCGCAGACAGGTAAGTACTGATTGGAACTTAATGTCCTCTCTTGGGGTGGTGGACCACACAGGAGAGCTGCCTTCAGGAAAGGGAAGTTTTACTCAAATTCAAACTCCCTTCCAGGCATGGTTTTGTTCTGGAAATTACGTCTGGAGTGTGGCATATTAGTTTAAGAAAAGAAAAATGAGTGAATGGCGGAGACAGGAGGAAACAAATGAGAATTAAATCTCTAAGCCCGAGACCAAGGGACATTTTTTTCTGAAGAAAAATTACTGTCTATCCTGTCTTCTCCCTCCCTAAAAAATTAATTGAGCAGTGAAAAAGACAATTACACCCCATAGTTTCAATATCAGGCTAATGTGTCTTAGAAGCAATTCGGAACCTTTCAGAAAACAGAGAAGTTTCCACTGCCCCTCTGTGAAATCTTTGAGAAAGAAAAATAGGCTCCATTTCTCAGAACTTTGTCTTCCTGGGACAGTCTTAACTTTTCTTACAGCTGATTTTTAGGTGTGTCTGAACAGAACAATTGTGTGTTGATTTTTCCAAGTTGTCCTTCAGTGCATTTAAACATGATTGTTCCCTTTGGTCTGGCTAAGCAAGTGTTGCTCAAGATTGACTTCTAATTTTAATAGCTTTATTAATGCCCTTCTATGTTCAATGTCTTTGGAGCCTAGTGGGCTGGATGTCCACTTTTATTCTGGAAAAATATATCTTTGTGAATATATATATATCTATATCTATATCTATATATATCTATCTATATCTATATATATATCTTTGTGAATATATATATATATATAACACTCACACATATATGCATATATATGTGTGTGATTTTGCACTGACATAATCTTAAAACCTGTTCTCATGCATTTATCAAACATCTACCATGTTAAAAAAATAAAACCCATGTTTGAACAGCAAGGAAAGACATATTTGCAGGATATTCACATACATTGTTGACCATATCTAATGTTCTGAAGATTGAATACAGAAATGATTAGACTATCAGATGCAGCATATGCTAAATAGCTAAAGTAAGAAAAACAGGTCCAGCGGACCAGAGATTACAAGCTGTTAACTCAACTATATGGTATATGTTAAGGATACATAGGACCAGAGTGTATACTGGAAAAAGCATAGGTACATTTCTTAAAAGTTTAGAATCTGAAGAAAATGGCCTACAACTTAATACATGTGGTGTTGGAGTTTCTTTGTATAAAGGAACAAACTGTCCTCAGGTGAGCTGGCCTTGGTAAGTAATGGACAAATAAAGATAGTGTTATCAGTGTCTGCGGCCATGTGTTTATCCTAAGCTACTTAAAGTACACTGCTCAGTACAGATGATATTCTCAGAGACTTCAAAGGAATGATTCAGAAATGAGGGTACTGGGTGGACCAGACAGGAATCCTCCACTCACCCTCATCTTCCTTGCACGCCGCCTTTTTGCCTCCCCCCACCCCCAGGTCCTAATGACCACAGATAGTTTTCTGCGTTCGTTCAGGGCCAGCAAACTGTGGAGCTGGCCGAAGCTCCATGGCTGGTTTCCACTGGTGGAGGGCACGTCAGGCTGAGTATAATTTTCTTGATGGGAAGAAGAGATTTGGGTTTCCGGGCTGGTGAATGCAGTGGTCCAGATGGTGTTTACTGTCTCCTCGGGGAGGCGAACAGAGTGGAAAGGGAGGGCATGGAATGGAAAACCGCAGCTGCAGGGACCCTCTTCCCAGAGTTGCAGAGCAAACCGAACTCGCCATCAGCAGTCAGGGAAAGCTCCGTGCAAAGCTGAGTTGAATGCCACCACAGCTGCAGTGTGTCCTCACTAACTTTCTGTATTTGGCTAGGCCTTGCAAAGGCTGCTGGGTCACCAGAATTACAGGTGCTGCATCACACTGCCTTCAGTGGCCTGCCAGTTGGATGATAACACAAGACTGTACTTTCCTATTTATCTTATGTTTGAAAGCTACAAGATTCTTACAACGGCTTTATGGATTTGGCAATGTAAATATGAATTCTATATTTTACAATGTGTCATCTATGTATACAGTAGAGTAAGTTAGCAGCTCAATATTTTACATGTAACTGTGTAGCCACTACACCGTTGAGATATTAAAGGTTTCCAGTACCTTGCCCCTTCCCGAGAGAGGCAATTGTTACTTTGATTCATTCGCCCAGTATTATTTATTGTTTTCATATGGAATCATACAATGAATACAACTTATCTGACTTCTTATGCTTGGCAGAGTTCTGTGCTATTCATCCGTGTTAGTGTGTTTAGCAGTAGTTTTTTAGATTGTGTGCAGGATCCCACTAAAGGAAAAGACCTCAGTTATCCTGATGAACACTGATGTATTTCTTATTTGGGGCTGAGAACCTTTTCTGGGTATTCCATTCTTTTTTGTTTTGTTTTCTTTGTTTGTTTGTTTGCTTTTGTTTTCCGAGACAGGGTTTCCCTGTAGCTTTGGAGCCTTCCTGGACCTCGCTCTGTAGACCAGACTGGCCTCGAACTCACAGAGATCTGCCTGTCTCTGACACCCGAGTACTGGAATTAAAGGCGTGTGCTACCACTGCCTGGTGGTTTTCTTTCTTTTTTCCCCCCAAAATTTCATACAATATATTTTGATCATATTCTTTGCCCTTCCCCAACTCCTCCCAGATCCTAACACCTCCCCACCTCCCCAACTTCATGCTCTTCTCTTTTTTTAAAAAAAAAAAGAATAAACCGACAACAAAAACACACACACACAAATAGACAAGCATGGGGTCTATTTTGTATTGGTCAGCTGCTCCTGAGCAGGTGTCCTGCTCTGGGGTGTGGTTGATATACCAAGTGCCACTCTATTGAAGACAATCGATTTTCCCTCTCTCAACAGCTATCAATTGCAGATGGCTTCTTACTTAGAGGTGGGACTTTATATCTCTTGGTTGGCATAATACTTTATTTCTAAAGTATTATGAGTTATGAGTGCCTATATTTATTAAATATTGGCAGTTTCCAGATGAGCCTCCATATATAATAGCTTGGTAAAAGGATCAACCAAATTGTCCAGGGTGGATGATCATCATAACCAAAGGGGGTTTTCCAAACCCTACAGAAACCTAGGCCCCACCTGAAGCTACTGAAACAAGCTTTCCAACTTGTGAGTGGGACTCAACAGCAGCAATCGTCTGTGCCTACCCACCATAGATTGGCAGTGATGCCAGTGCTCATGTCAACCGCCCTTCTGCAGCCCTCTCTATCCACAGGTGAGGTTGAGTCTTTGTTACTAAGGAAAGAACATGTTCCTAGAAAACTTTGTGCCAATGTCACTATCCCCAAAAAGGAGATTTCAAGGTCGTCTCAATAAGTGGAATCCCAGGATTACCACAGCTGACCAATTTCAGGTTCACATTACAACCCCTCCAATTTTGGTTCCCGTCTTCTCTCTCCATTTGCACTTGCCTTCACAATACACTAATGCACTCATGCATGGTCACATCTTGTTGAGTCCACTCTTCAACATGTTTCTTTTTTTACAAGTATACGGTTCCATTCCTCATCCCCATGCATAGGCTTGGGTGGGCACCAACAGGCCTGTGTTTTAGACATTTATCTGCTATTTCTATCCATGTGGGGGAGTTGGATCGAGTTGCTTAACTAACTTTCTGGCCTTGGCTTAATTACCTGTAAAATGGCCAAGTAAAATGGCCGAGTTTGTTAGCTTGTCTTGTTTTGAGAGAAAGAGAGAGAGAGAGAGAGAGAGAGAGAGAGAGAGAGAGAATTGTGTGCATCCACATGCATGTACGTGTGGAAGCCAATGGTCAGCCTCAGGAGCTGTCCATGTTTCCTGTTTGGTTGTTTGTTCGTTTTTTGAGACAGAGTCTCTCACTAGCTTAGAATTCACCAAGTAGGCTAGGTTGCGTGGCCAACAAGCCCTAGAGATCTACCTGTCTCTGTGCCTTCTCAGCACTGGGATGGGAAGCTCTAGAAAGTTCATATTCCCCTTAACACCCAGGGTCCGCTCTACTTATAAGAGTTGAGGAACTACAGTCTGGTTGATGTTTGAGCAGTGAGCACATAGTCTAAGCAAGCTGACAGCAGTCGAAGCAGGAATTTTTCAAGTTCCAACCCTTGTTTAACATAGAAACAAGAAACACGTGATGCGATTTAACCTTCAGGACAAACTTGGAAGGAAGGGAAATTAAAGCCTTACTCCCTTCACTGCAAGCCACAAATTCTTTAGCAAAACTTGACACTTTCTTTAGCAACAATCAAACTACAGTCTGATTCCATTTCCCTTCTCCTGACATTGGGAGCTACAGGCTCAAAATCGGGCTGTTCTAAAAGACGGTGCTGAGTGAACCAACACAGAAAGGATCCTTCTCTCTGTTCATGTCAACAGGTCTCTGGCTACTATGGCTAGCTTCCTGGTTTCTGAGGAGATTGATCTCTTTCTCACAAAAAGAAGATTCAATTTAGTTTCTTCTAAGGCATCCATCCAAAAAAGTCCATTGGTTAGAGGAAGTTGGGTGGGCTGCCAGTTCCAAGTTCTCTATAGTTTGGTTTTCAGAGGCATAAGCTGTCACTCTGGAAGGAAGTATAACTTGTGTCTGCCCATAACCATGGCGAAGCAGCCCTGTAGCCACCAGATTTGGGAATGAGTATGGTCCAGGCGCTGAGGAAGTGGGCTTCCCAGCCAGGCTCTCTCTCAACTGGAATGAGGTAGAAGAGGAGAGAGAGGCGGGCAACAAAAACCTTCATCTTGTCTCTCACACATTATCTTTTCAAGTGTCAGGCTTTTATGTGATTAATTAAGTATCATCTCTGGCAACTTAATATGCATGATGGCAAAAAAAAAAGCACAAACTTCATCATGAAACACGCAGCATCTCATGAAAGGGCTCCCTGGTGAGGTTTTTTTGAACTGTGCCTGTCAATAACATTCTTTAAAAATAGACCAAATTTGCATTCTTGCACTTATAAATCTTCCTGGTGTGTGGGGTTGCATAAATTCTCTCTTAATTAAAACACATGCTTTCA